TGGAGTTATATTTGATTCAAAAATGACAGGTGTTCAACACATTACACATATTCTTAAAAAATGCGAGAAAAATATTAATATTCTCCGTTCACTGTCTGGAGCATGGTGGGGAGCACACCCACAGTGCCAGAAACTACTGTACAATGCTTTAATTCGATCTCACCTAGACTACGGAGCTTTTCTACTGGAACCATGTAACAAATCCTCTTTAAGTGCCCTAGACAAAATACAATATAAGTCTCTCCGAATTGTAGTAGGAGCTATGAAATCTTCTCCCACTAACGCCCTGCAGGTGGAATGCTCGGACCCCCCTTTATCCATTAGAAGGCAATATTTGGCAGACAGATTCCTTTTCAAAGTTATCCAAAATTCATCCCATCCGCTTATCGATAAACTTCATCAATTATCAGAATTTATATCATACGATAAATTCTGGACACGTAAAACGACTCCATCCTTGTTCCGAAGCTTCCTCAAATTTCTACGACTTCCTTCTCCAGTGCACCAATGTGTCCTAAACCCTCTATTTGACAATCCTTATCACTCACTAGTATATCAACCTGATATCTCTCATGACTTAGGCATCAGTAAAAAATCCACTGATGCTGAGGTTCGGTTACAGGACCACATCAGTAAAAAATGGAACAACTTGCTTGTTATGTACACAGATGCCTCAAAGCTATCTGATCAAGAGTGTGTTGGTGCTGCTGTTTGGATTCCCAAATATAAAATAATTCTAAATTTTAAATGCCCACCGGTCTCTTCAGTCTTTTCGGGTGAAGCCATTGCTATCCTTGAGGCTCTCCTATATACAGAGTCGCATGTTGATAAAACTGTCATTTTATCAGATTCTAAAAGTTGTCTCCAGTCTATTTTGTCCAACCCCTTCCGTAATAAATCCAACTTCCCTTGTATCCTGAAAATTAAAGACGTGTTATACAGGTGCCACCTTCAAGGAATTAGAGTGTCCTTGGCCTGGATCCCAGGCCATTCAGGAATAGTAGGTAACGAAGCCGTTGACCTGATGGCCAAAGATGCCACTAATAATAGTTGCCTCACTCACCCTCAAGTATTTTGTCATGACTTATTCTCATTAGCAACCCAAAAGATGATGTCATCATGGCTCGCCGAATGGAAAGAGTCTAGTAAGGTGAAAGGAAAATATTACGCCGACATTCAAAATTTTATTCCTAAGAAGCCTTGGTTCTTCGAATACAATGAAGCATCTAAATTTTGCACCTCCACTTTATGTCGACTAAGGCTGGGCCACTCAAGTACTCCTGTACATTTAGCCAAAATTAGGATTAGGGACAACTCACTTTGTGAATGCGGGCTTGATGATGGTTCTCCAGACCACATCTTTTTCAATTGTCCCAAATATTCTGTTTCACTGTACGATATTCTTCCCCCATACATTCCCAAACCCACAAATTTTAAAACACTCCTTAATTATGTTAACTCCCCTTTTATTGTTATCCTATGTAATTATATAACTAGCAATACCATAAAATTATAATGTGTTTGTTCTATCTAACATACTAACACTTGTGTTTATGTATTGTGTCCGTCCTTTCAGGTAAATCAACAGCTCCGCAGCATCAAAATTTAAATTCTATGTATTAAAACTTGCATTTCTCACATTGTCCTCCCACAAGACTCGTTGTACCGTAGTAACACAGCTGCAGTAGCCCTTACATTCTGCTAAGCGGAAAACTCGACACTGGCGAAATCTTAAAAAGAAGGAACCGCCATTGAGCAAAACGAAGAAGAAGATTTATAAATGCGCATAAGACGTTGATAGATACCATTGCGTTACTTTCAGAGTTGCTAATGGGCTATTTTTAAGAAGTGACTTAAAAATGACCAACACACAGCAACTGGAAATAGTAGTAATTTTACAATTCAGGACAAAGTCCTTTGTATCCTGCCCAACAATTTCATAATCCGTCTTGCTAATAATTCTTCTTAAATGTTGCTATATAAGCGGGGGATATGCGCTGCGGAAAAAAAATATCGAATAAAGAAATCGTTCATAAATAAATAAATAAATAGTGTTTTTATCAATAATCGTCAATCCAGTGATGCATCGGCTATTATAGGGAATTCTCCATAAATTGGCAACACTACCTAGGACAGTTCATAAAAATTTGCAAAATAATAACATTGTAACTACGTGCACAAATTTATGGATATCATAAACTATTTGTATAAGACTGACTTTTAAATTAATAACTATTGTTTAAGTAAATACATTAAAATGTACTTCACACATCTATGCATTGTTCAAAATATCTACATCAGAAAAATTAAATTATTATACTAGAACTGTTGCTTCAAAGATCAAATCCACTAAAAATCAATCGGCTTTATCACATCCCTGATGAAGTTTCACCGGGATCGTCCAAGTTTTAGTTTAGTATATTACAAAATTATTACCATTGTTCACCGCTTTCCTCAAAAATTTAAGTACATACATAGGGCGCACTATAAGTTTCCGCAACTGGCAACTTACATAAATAATATTTAAAAAGTAATTACAACTGTCTCGACGTACACGAAGCGGTATGAAAATATAAAAATTGGTACCTAGTACACCTATGCTCGTAACCTGATGAAAATTGTTAAGTTTTATAGTCCAGATAACGTAAAAATCTCTGCTGAATTGCCTTCAACCGAGACTTATACGTTTCATAGAATGGATTCCAGACCTGTGAAGCGTATTCAAAGTGACTCCCTACAAAAGAGCAATAAAGAATCTTAATGAATTTGATATTATTGAACGTCGCCGAGGTCCGAATAATGAATCCAAGTGCCTTTGATGTCTTACTTATTACACAGTCAATATGCTTGTCAAAAAGTAGTTTGTCGTCATGGAGTACACCCAAGTCCCTCATTTCCCTGACTCTCAATATGTTGGTGCCATGTAATTTGTAACCAGTGCCTATAGTTGATGCTTTACGGCTGAATGTCATGTAAAAACATTTGGACACATTAAGTTCAAGCCTATTTATGGTACAGTGGGCTTCAAACCTGCTTAAGTCTGCCTGAAGATCGTCAACATCTGTTTGCCCACGTATGACTTTTAGTACCTTCATGTCATCAGCAAAGAGCAGGATTTTCGAATGAATAAAGTAAGATCCCATGTCATTGATGAAGATGATGAATAATAAAGATCCAAGGGTAGTACCCTGCGGTACACCAGACGGGACTGATGTCCATCTTGACATAAAGCCACGCAACACAACCGCCTGGTTCTATTAGCTATGTAAGAAGCAAACCAGCACAATAAATCTCCATGGATGCCTGCTACCATCAACTTGTTCAGAAGCACATTGTGATCTATGCGGTCAAAACATTTAGTGTAGTCAGTGTAAACTGCATCAACTTGTGCACGGCCCTCCATGCCTCTTGTTATGAATTCATTGGCGATAACTAAGTTAGAGACGTACGTCCGGTCTGAAGTCGGCGTCACCGACAAGTTCAATGTGGCTATGGGCTTGCACCAAGGATCGGCTTTAAGCCCCTATCTGTTTCTCCTGATTATGGATGCTCTAACATCGGGCATACAGGAGGAGGCACCCTGGTGCATGCTGTTCGCTGACGACATTGTACTTGTCGGGGAGAACGCACTTGAGTTCTAGAGCAGACTGGCAAAATGGCAGGTAAGATTGGAGAGCGTCGGGTTGAGGATTAACCGGTCAAAAATCGAACAGCCTTTCCTCAAGTTTGGCGGTGCCTCCAGTTTTACCAATATAGCCTTAGATGGTGTATCCCTACCAGTCTGTTCCGATTTTCGGTACCTCGGTTCGTTAATACAGAACGACGGCTAGATAGACCGCGACGTTAAGAACAGAATAAGGGCAGGATGGATGGAAATGGCGACAGGTCACAGGCACTATTTAACCGTAAACGCCATGTCATTTTGCACCACGATAATTCCAGTTCTCACACTGCCAGATAGACAAATGAATTTTTGAATGTGAACAACGTTGTCCTTATGAGCCATCCTGCGTGCAGTTCCGACCTGGCACCTTGTGACCTTTATTTATTTCTAAAAATGAAGAACCAGTTATGCGATCAACGATTTTCATCACCTGAAGAGGCTGTTGAAGAGTATGAAAAATACGTTTCAGAGATTATCACGGAGGAGTGGCATAAATGTTTTCAAAATTGGTCCATTCGTGTGAAAAAGTGCATTAACGCTAACGTAGAATATTTTGAGAAACAATAAGACTATTTCCGGCCATTTACAGTATTTTTTTCTTATTCATTCCGGAAACTTATAGTGTGCCCGACGTATTTGTATCACTTCTAAGCTTTTGAAATGGGAAGGAAAATAGTTTTAGAAAAATCAAGGAAATATTTTTAAATATTGTGATTAGTATTGGGTTATTGAAAAATTTCCATGTTGAAAAAATCATATTTTCAGAAAAAGAAATTTATTTGATGGGTGTTTTTTCCAACGAAAACGATGGAGCCGATAACAAGTGGTGGAGGCGGCGTGGTTGTTGGAGGGTTTTTAGCTGGTGTAAAATCATTTTAAATCTCGTTTTTCTTTATGTGGCTTTTATCCATACAATTTTTTTTTATAATTCACGCCGAATAAAACTTCAAAAGAAATTTCTAAACCTAGAACATAATATGAGCCAAATTATGTTTTCTAAATTTTTGCAATGTTTTTCGCAAATTTTTCCGGAAAAATTTCAACTATTACAAATTTTTTCAAAAATTATTTAACAATAATTGTGATTAATGCTCGAAAAAAGTAAATCACTAGATGGCGCTAAATAAACTTAAATTTAATTATTTGAAGTTGCTATTCTTGAGCATAGACTACAGATAATCGACGCATTCAAAATTTATCTTTGTTGACATTTGGTAACTGTGAAGTGCCTATGCTTCCTTCCTACAGTAAAAAAATAGCAAAATAACCTCATATTTTCAACCTTCCTTAAAATTTATTTCTCATGAAATTATAAATTTAATAAGAATTGTGAATAAAGTGTACCTTAACAATGGCTGGGACTCTATTTAGTAAGTAGAGTAATTGAAATGACCTGCACGTTTTATAATTAAATAAGTTAATTTCATTTATATTTTGTATTTTATATTTCTTTTATGTAATTGAAGGATTTATTTTTATTTCAGGATCCTTATTCATGAACACATTAACACTCTGCAGAACAAATACCCCTAGTCTCGTAAGTAAAAAATGCAATTGATAGAACCATTATAAATAAATAAGGCAATATTGAATATGATTATTTTCATATTTTAGAAATCATTTCACACAGCACCTGTGTACTATGCTGCTCGCAAAGGCACCAGGGCGAAAGCTCGCGCCAAGAAAGTAAAGGTTGAGGTTACAAAAGTTGGATTTGTACCACATAATCAAAGAGGAAGGGAAGGAAAGTAAGTAACCAGACCGTTTTGAAACTTAAAAAGATATCCGGTGACTTTAAAATTGTATCATGTATTTAATTAGCGGAGATGGGAATAGGTAGAATATATTTACTTAAACTTGAACACCTGCCTCTGGAATCTGGGATTTATTGTATTGTAGTGTTATATCAGGGTTCAAAATGATTAAGGTATTTATTTCCTTTCATAATTATCATGATGATATTATCTGATAATTAATTATCCATGTTAATACACATTTTTTTCACTTAAATTTTTTACTGTAAATTACAAACAAAGAAAACTAAATGAACATGTAGAGAAACATTTCGGTATGTCATGTTCTTTTGAGATTTGACACATTTGGATATGTCTCGGATACGAACACGTGGCACAATATTGCTAGCGGTATGATTTTGTTGTTCCAACAAATTGGAACAACAAAATATTGTTATAATTATCAAATATTTAACAAGGTGGTTATCATGATAATTAATGACTGATTATATATAACTGCCTCTGTGGCTGAACGGTTGTCATGGTGGACTGCTTGGGTTCGATTCCCAGGCTGAGAGAAATATTTGAATGGCCTTTCTCTCATGAGTTCGGGTGTAATTTGTGGTTGCCTACCTATGTGTACTACTATGTGTACAGGCTTTCCCTTTCCCGGGGCTATGATTATTATTATTATTGATGAATAAAATGATATGCCCTGAAAATTTTACTATTTTTCAATTTAAAAAAAAAATTTTTTTTTAAGCTTTATAGTAGGCCATCTTGAAAAGTGATGACCCATATAAACAAAATGCGAAGTAAATAGTTCCACAACTTTTTTTTATTAATGGCCTCTTCTTTCGACCTCTCGGGCTCCCAGTTTGATGCAATAAATTAATAAATAAACAAATAAATGCCAGTTAATATGCGTATCCAAGTCGTCCTCCATGTTTTGATCTGTCTCCTTGTCGCTCACCATAAACACAACAATTCACGTTACAGGCAAAACAAGTTAAGCAAGAGTCGTTTCGTGGATGATGAATATAAGCAAATATCTCAAGATGACGTATTTCCAATGAAATATTACCGTTGGGTCACATACTCAGCTGAGGAAGCTGTCAAGCTGCATCAGGAGACGCATCACCCAACTATGTATAATGTCCCTGATGCCCTTGTCTTTGCTGAAATACATTTAAACATGGCTGCTGTTAAAAAGGTCTTTGTATAATGATTTATATACCAAATTCAGACTCCTTCAAAGGACTATGCTAACTTATGTTAACCAAAAACTTGATCACAACAAGTTGGTCAAGTAGGATTGTAACAAAATTTTTCTAAAAATTATTTTTGGCGTGGTAACTGTCACAAATGATGACATCAATAAATTTTGCATTTTTAAAATGAGTCCAGAATATTAACTACTATGTTATTTATATAAACAGAACCGTTACCTAGACAACTTCGCGCGACTGACTCTTCTCCCTCACTTCTTCCCGCGCGATGAAGAACGGTCAATTCTAGCATTTTGTAAAGGACAAGACTTGATCAGAGAAGCCATCGATGCTGGGGCCACTACTGCCGGTGGGACAGAAGTGGTAAAAAAGATACAGGTATTGTATTTATAACCAAAATCCAATTCTTATAAACTTATTTTTACTTTTAAATTTTACTGCACTGTGAGAACAGTACAGTAAAAGCCATGGCAGCCTAATTGGTTTCACCTCTCACGGTCTCTCAAGCAGAGACCACGTCTTCGAATCCGGGTTCGCACCTCTTGAGTATTTTCGGAATTTATGTGCGAAATTCAATTTAATATTTATCATGAGCTTTCCGGTGAAGGAAAACAGTGTGATGAGACCTGCACCTCGAAGAAGGTTCACCCTCGGAAAACGTGTTAATTCCCCAACTCGCACTGGGCCAACATAGCGGACTTTGCCTAAACCCTGACATAAGGGGAGAACCGTGCCCAGTAGTGGGACATACGATTGAGTTGATGTTTTTTTTTTCTCAGAACATGGGTTTCTCGCAAGCAACTCTGTGTCTTCAAGTCAAATCTAGAATAACAATTATTACCTAGACTATAACAAATCTCGATGAAATTTGGTTATCAGAGCACTCTACAGGATATAATGTAATGTTATGTTTCATTAACAATTCCAAGACCAGTGGTATGGGAGTACTGACAGATAAAGCAGGATGGGTAGATAGATACTTGCATTACGAGGCCGACAAACGCTCGAACGTTTTAGGTCTTTTCAAAATAGATTAAAAAAAAAACAGTGGTAGCTGAGTGTGGGAGTGGTTGTTTCTCAACTGCGAAAGGTCGACAGGTAAGTTCGTATATTTGTCAATGTTTAGTGTCAATACCACTCACTATCAATAAAGGAAAACATCTTGATCTTGAAAACTGAAGTTGAAGCTTGTATGTACACAAGCTTTGGGAAACGTGTAATTGTCAACCCGCATTGAAGCCCTCTACTCTTGCTCAACGGTCTGACGTAAATCCTAACAGTGAACATTGTAATATGAACCTCATTTTTCACTGTCTCTTTACAGGAAGGTGAAATCAAACTAAGTGATTACGATTATATAATTGCTCATCCTAGTGTGATCACGGATCTTGTCCCTATACGAGGTTTATTGAAAAGACGATTCCCCACTGTTAGAAATGGCACTCTAGACCCTAATCTTGGAGATTTGGTCAAAAAATTTGCTGCAGGTGTTCAGTATAAGGTGATGAAAGACGAGAATCAGGAAAGTTTGGGAACTGTTTCAATACCTGTTGGAAGGGTAAGAATTTTGTCTATTATATATTTTTTAAATACTCCAAAACTAAAATCAAAACTCCTTCTTGTAACAATTTTACTTTTTTAGCTGAATATGAATGCCAAGCAAGTGGCCGAAAACATAGCGGCTTTATTGGTAGACCTACAAGCGGCTCGGCCTAAGAGAGAAGGCTATTTCATCACTAGGTAAATTTTCTATCTCCAATGGAAGTATTGTATGATTTTGATTTATATAAAACCTAACATTTCGCATACAGCCCGTTTCCGAAGTAGCACTATATTTTGTTCTTTTTTTATAGTTCTCCCTTATTATTTTTGCCTATATTTCATTTATACAGGTGCGTATTAACAAGTCCACCAACCACGGAAAAGTTAAAGATTGATCCATTTGTGTACGTCGAACGGGAACTGGCGAAGGAAGTTCAAGAAGACAGCGACGACGAGGAAGAAGCAGTCGCTAGAGGATAGTTTTATGCGTAGTTTATTAGATTAGTATGTAAAATTATATAAATAAAAATGTTAAACGGCATATTTCGAATTATTCATAATTATCTTGAACGTAGCCATAAAACTTATAACGTCATTTGTGATGAAATGTCATTTGTCAACGCATGCGCTGTCAAAAAAATCCAAATCCGAACGTGCGTTAAAGATACTTAGTTTGTCCGCTAAGAATTTATAACTGTTGATTTTTATTTATGAAGTATAAATCTAACTTGCAAACAAAAACCAATGAACTATGATTATTTATAGTGTAATTGATACATAAATCCCAAGTTTCTGTGTATGTCATTGCATTTGAATCAACTGTAAATTGCTTGATTTAATGTTCTGAACGCACTCAAAAGGGGCGTAAAATATTTCCGCCATTTTGTCCCCTGGAATTTAGATTTTATTAGTTTACGTCCATAAAAATCTAAGAGATCACTGTGCAAAAGTGGTATTTTGGAAGCTGTGCAGTGTTTAGTGAACCTGTGATATTTGTGACTCACAAGATTTTGTTTACGTTCACCTTGACTTTTTATCTAACCGATTTTGACGTCGAAGGAGAGAGCTCTAGATAATCAAAATGGGCACAAGAGAGGACGAATACGATTATTTGTTCAAAGGTATATTTTAAACATGTCCGTTTTAAGCATTAACCGGGGTGCTTTACAGTTATTAGAACTCCTAAACAGCTGTTTCTTTGTTATCATTTTTGGCTCACATATGACGCAAAATAGTGATAATTCGCATAGTTCTTCCCTTTGTTTTTCATTCTGAAGTAATAAATAGCATTTAGCTTTACAACTAACCTTTTTACACTCCATTTGTGGTTAATTTTGGGTGTAAATCATGAGTTTGTCATCAGCTGATTATGTGTGAAACAATCGATTTTGCATAAAACGTAGACATCTGTGAGTCATCTTCCGAATTCCTGCAATGATCTAATCATTAGAGGCTTTTATCAGCCTAGGAAATCTGTAAAATAACCATGATGTTCAATACTTTAAATGTTTTCAGTGTAAAATGCTTTTTTTTCTATATTTTGTATGATGCTTTGTTACAGTCGTCCTAATAGGAGATTCAGGTGTGGGGAAAAGCAGTCTTCTCTCACGTTTCACTAGAAATGAATTCAACCTAGAGTCAAAATCCACAATAGGAGTGGAATTTGCAACTAGAAGTATAGAGGTGAGCGATGTTTTATTAAGGTTGGTTTTTATTGAACCTTTACGTGTTTGTTAACACTGAAAGTTTAAAGACAGAGCCTACTACTCAGCTAGTGCAGAAGAAAATGAAATTACTTTTTACGAAATTCTATCTATTATCATGAGTAACTAAAAAATAATTCCCATTGCCGTATCACATTCTAAATTGTTAATAGTCTATTGTTATGGGGAGAAAATTTACCTAACAACATCATTGTTGTCTCTCCCATTTGTATTGAGGAAAGTTCTTTTATTAATACTTTTTATTCCCATACTTTTTCCTTATATATCTTTTTATGATAGATTCTGTCAAAACTTTTTTCTATGTTTACAAAGTGATTATTAGTCTTATTCCTGTCACTTTAAGATTTAAATCAGTATGACTGTAATGCCATTATAATTAAAGAGTTACACTTTGCCACGGTTAACCTTCCAGTGGTCGCACCCTTGCGCCGAACATAAGCAGTCGCATGCGGTCTGTGAGACTGCAACTTGACGAGTTCAGTTTGAGAAGGCAAATTAATATTTTCATGACATTGTGTACATTATAAGAAAGACATGACACATTATAAGAAAGTCTTTTATCTATATAAATGAAAATAAAAAACATTATTATTTTTTTAAATTTGTACTTATTAGTTGAACAGTCTATAAAAAGTCAAAATTTTAGTCATACATTGACACAAACAACGTTAAAAATCAATAAAATAACAAAACAAGATGAAATTTTCTATCTTAATCGTTCATAAGCACAATATAATAGATTATTATCAAGATCAATCAATATTGTCATCAATTGCATAATGTTGTAGGAACTCTAAAATCACAATTATTTTTGAATGTCTTTTTCATGATGTTCTACGTACTATCTCAATTCTTATAAAATAAAAAAGGAAAAAATAAAAAACTTCCAACTTTTTTAGCAGCAGGTAGTACAATAACCTACGCTTTATCAGTAGCAATGGTTTGACATCATCAAAATCTTCATCTTCTGTTTCCGCCTCCTCTGCAAGCCGTTGTGATTCTTCATAACTCATGTTGTGTCTACAAAAAATAGTGAAATAATAAATAATTTAATATGTATTAAATAACATAATGTAATTTTGTACGTAATATAGTACATATAACATGAAATACTCATCCAGGTTTCAATTTCATTCCATTAATTTTTCTGGAATACGACCAGTCGCGCGCGGAATCTGAGACCGCAAGCATAAATAAAGACACATGTGCGCTTGCGACGAATGTCACAGGCCTACTAAGGGGAAGTACTTCACCCCCTCGAGGATATCACGGCCGCGCAACCGTTTATTGTTTATAGATTTTGCAAAATTACTAAAATAAGGTTGCTGCGGTCTCTGAGACCGCTGGAAGGTTAAGACCACAAATATAACAAATGTAAAGAAAATTAAAAAGGTAGTAATTAATAAAAATACAGTATGACATGGCTTTTGCACATTAGGTACTTAAGATATATATGTAAAGTATATACATTTATCTATTTATTATCTCTATATCAGATTTTTAGTTATTTTTCTGGTTAATTAATGAGTTTCTTTAGCTTGTTATTTACTGCTATAAGATAGTAGAGCGCATAATAGGTACAACCAAATAGCTTAAAAAGTTACTAATTACAATTTCTCTTTCTATAAATAACACCAAGTTTGCCTAATATCCCACAAATCGAAGCAATTATGTTTAAAAAGGGTTACCATTCTGAAATTTTAATAATCTAGACAAACAGCCTGACATTTGCAAGTAAGTCTTGCTTTTTTAGTAATAAAATAAAATTGAATCAAACATTGACTTACAAATAAATGGACGACGGGTCTAATACAAAAACCACGAAAAAAATGTCCCAAGTCAACCTATTTAAACGTAGTGACATGTAAAGGAATATGAAAAAGCTAAAACGTTAAATTTAAATTGTAATGTCATCGCAGTATTGTCTAATTTTGCTTGCTTCGCTGGCAGTCGAACAAACGAAGACTAAAGCGTGAATGACGCTCTGTATACGATTTTAACGCCCTATCAGTTCGGACACTTTTTAGCGCGGACCCGACGTCCATATAATTGTAAGTCAGTGAAATCAAATCAAATATCTCTCTCAAGATGAACAAGCACTCGGGCAACAAAAATTTTTTTGTTGTGTATTGAGTTTTACTGCAGAATGCGATTATTCTGAAAATTGATAACCTAAGTCCAAAAATCAGGATTGTTGATAACCCTATTTACAAGATGCTGTTCTCAAATGTAGTGGTATACCCAATGTAGTTCCACAAATGGACTACACAAAAAGTGTGTTAAAAAGTAACAGTGTATTGAGGTTTAAACTTTATGTGTAACAATTAATAACATAGTCTATTTCTATCGAGCAACAGGGTGAGGTTACTGAATTTACTTTTATATCCGTTGCGTTAACACACTCCTGCTTTTGGTATTCTATTTTTATCCAACAAATTGGCATTTAACAATCGGTTTTTAAACTTGATACTTTATTATTATAATTTTTAATATAACAGTAAGGAAGAAACAAGTGATGTTCTTGAATGTTCTCTTCATTATTTCTATTGTTACCGCTTATATATAAATAGGATATAAGTTTGTACAACACGTAACTAGTATTTAAAAAGTTCAGGCCAAATATAAAGGACATTTTAATTTTGGCTTAATTTGACAATGAACCAAATAATAGTTATGAAGGGCACGTTTTGTAGGTTAATTGAATTAAATGACTTCCCAAACATGGCCAATTAACCCCAATCAAACAGAAATGGTATCCAATTTTCATTGTTAAAACTTGAATGGTGAAATTTAACATTTTTTCTAATAGATACTTGATTTAACACAGTTTTGCTACTTAGATTTAAAAATTATAAAAGTTATACCTCGACCGTGACCATGGAATCTGTACAGAGGCGGAAATATTGGTTGTTTAAAGTCGTGAATTTAGACCTGAAAAAAATTTCTTCCAATATGTATTATAGCAATTGTGAAAAGACAAGTTTCGATATTAAGTAATAATATATTTTTTATTTTTTTAAATTATTAAGTAACGGTACAAACAAATCCTGCGCCGCATGGTAAACGACACGTCTGTCCATAACAGTTACACTGCCACTCAGAGCTTTAAATCACAAAGATCTGAGGGGCACTGGCACTTTGCTGGACACCCAGGCCATACAAATATTTCTCTAGACCTGGGAATCCAAACCGGGACCTGTGTGGCAGACCGACATGGTAACCATTCGGCAACAATAGGTTGTAATTTTTTTTATAATATCAAGTGACAGGACGAATATATTGTGCGCCTGATGTTAAGTTACATGCGTGTCCATAACAGATGCAGTATTGCATGCATGCTGATGATATATTACTGCTTGGCAGCAGAAATAGATACGGTGGCAGTATTTCCCAGGACGAACTCTTTCACAAGGAGCTCTACTGCTACTAATTAAAATTATTGTAACCGCCGAAACATGGCGGATACTTGCAGTGTCAAGCCATATAGGCATGATATAGCCATGAGAAGATGTATTTTCTTGTGGATATCATAGAAAACAACTACGATTAGTGAGAGATTAGTCAATTAGAATGGAAAAGTGATCTATAAACCCTTTGCTAATTATGGTGAACCTTCTTTTATGGCGAGACCTGTATTTGAATACGGACTACAGGCTGTGGAAAGTTAACATTGGTATAGAGACATGTTCAAAGTGATAGTAGCATGCACATTACAATTGAAAACAGAGTATAAAAGTCACCAATATCGATTATAAGTTTTTCCTGTTGAATGCAGTTTATTGAAACTGCATTCCAATAAACTGCATTGCCGTTGAGCTAGAAAATTAATCACTTATTGATAACCATCATGAGTCAGCAGCCACTTGGTGTTTTGTTGATTAGGTTGCAGTAGTATAAATATTATTAATAATTCTTGATGAAAAAGTTCACAGTAGTATGATTTAAATGCATTGATTATATTGCAATGCAGTTGGAATTATCAAGTAAAATTTAAATGTATTGAATAAACATTTCATGTACATCTAACAAAAATCTATGTATGAGCTACATCTATTGTTTGTAGTATTATTCTTTACACAGGGTTATAAATACCCAGAAACTTCTTAGCGGGCTGTCTTATAATTTAAAAAACTCATTTGATAATTCGCTCAATTTTATTTTATTTTCTGTTCAAAATTTCAATTAATAAACTAAAAAGACGTCATCGTTATTATCACCAGGCCTTCATATCGTCGCTTAGCACACAACACCGCTTAAGTAATTTAAAATAATTTTATAGGAGCGTCAAAACCTTGCATATGTATTGTATAAAAGATTTTTATAAAAAAAAATTTTACCTATTATAATTTTAACCTATTACTAATAATAGTTTATTCATCTCTCACGGAGGCAGCTTGTGACTCCTACTTGTAAGTAACAGTGATCACAATTGCAGATAAAAAAAAATTGCTTGTTGCGGTGATAAAAGACTATACAGGGGGTATACTTTCGATCTCCGTCCGACATCCGTCCGAAACAATTACTGTCAAATAAGTAATATTCGACAAAATTAAAAGACAAGTATCAAGTATGAAGCTTCATTCGCATCACGCGTCTTTTCATTTGGTCATGTATTGCTTATTTGGCAGTAATTGTTTCGGACGGCGGTCGAGAGTAGACCCCCAGAGCCGGAATAAACTATCCTAATAATAATAATACATAAAAAGCTCTTTTCACTTCATTGCCAATATTATATACTGAACTGCATCCATGGCTGAACATTGGTTTCGATTCCCGGGCCAGGAGAAATATTTGTATAGCCTACGTTTATTTCTCCCGTGTGGTTGGGTGTAATTTGTGATTGTCTATGTGTGTGTCCATGGTACCCGCGGTACAGGGTTTCCTTAGCGCGGGGTTATGAGTGTTAAACAAGTTTAAAAATTACTTAAAAAACAAAAAACCGATTGCAGAAAAATTTTGCTGGAAAGATAAAAAAAATATTCCCATTCAAATAAAGTGAGGGGGCTCTCTATTTTGATTATTTTTAAGAATTTGGGGACCACTCGCCATTTTCGTTAATACGCCATATTTTCGTCCAACTAGTCAATATTCAAACTCGTCAATTATGTGAAAATGTTTAAGTCGCCATTTTCCCTATCTCGTCATTTTCTTTAACCGATCGCTTTCCTCAACTGGTCATTATATGCCATCCGACATTTGTCGTTGTTCGTACAGTCATGTACAATTATACAATATTTATTCGAAGACAGAGATGATCAAATTATATGGAAATGCCTGTGTAAATTAGCACAAATATACTATCAGAAATAATAAACGTGTAAAATAATAAACATTGTTAATTAATTTACACAGGCATTTTCATTAATTTGATCATCTCTGAATCTAATCTTTAACGAACGATTTTTTGTTAAGTATTATAGTATTTTTTTAATTTTCGCAACCGACGATACTTCTTGTTTATAATACACAATATTTCGAATTATCACTAACATAATTTTTTTTTAATACCCGAAAACATAAAATATTTTCCCTAACTATATACTGTCCAGGTGCCGAAAATGACTGATCAGAGAAAATGACGAATATTGACGACTTAAAGATTTATATGGCATTCGTAAATTACGGAAATTGACCAGTTGACGAAAATGGCGTATTGACGAAAATGGCGAGTGGTCCCCTAATTCATTTTTATAGCCTATCTACACATCCACAATCAAGGCGAATCTAACGACACCTCGTAGTGACAGTCCATCAAGCCGTTTAGGCTATACAGCGTGAAAAAGGAATGGACATACATACACTTGAAGAACGTAACCCTCCCGCAGTGGGGTAAAAAAATTCTATCCCACTAGAATAAAGTTGCAAATGAGATTTTTGTATTAAAAAAGTCAATGATGTAAAATATCTCCATACATATGAAATATATCTGTAATTCATAATATGAGCAAAGCATGACTTCAGCCTCAAGGGCTTGTGTAATACTGCGCTATCATAGATCGTAATCACATAGTGTTTTAGATTACGCAACTACGAAACTAGAAAGTGTGCTCAAATCGTATATTTATAGCGTGAAATTATATTTTTGATGTATTTTTTTTTTGTATTAAAACTATACACAGGTGAAATAAAGTTTTACACGCGATTTGACAAATAACTTTATTACATATTGTCAGGGTATGAAATAGATACCAGCAATTAACAACGCTAATTCGAATTTGTCGATTATGTTTATTTTAATTTTAATTGAATTCAAATTTAAGATAATTATACAAAAAGTAATAATCATGTATGTATTGTAATCTATGATAATAACTTTTAGTAAAAGATCACTAATAAATTATGTTTGAAAAAAAAATCTAAATTTTTAAGTTAGCGTAGTGTTGTTTTCTAGTTTAGTATTTTTAATTATAGATTAAAAATGAAAGAACAAAAATATTATGCAAGAAACACCTTTTAAAGCAAATTAATTGTTTTACTACATCTATTAATATTGTTTAGGTTGACATTCTGCTTGAAACTGTAATTTAAAATTGAAATGTAATGGCTTTGTGCTGGACATATCGCATCCACAATAATAAAGCGTCGAAATTTGTAAAGAAACATTTTTGTGTAACTCACAAAATAGAAGTAAAAAAAACTTACAAAGTAAATCTAGTGTATTAATTTTCATAATAAATATCATTATGTGGCTGGTGCCACTTTTTGTTATAGTTTTACATTCCTGGACACATAATTCGACCCACTTTGCCACTCAGCATTATGCTTTAAGCAATGTTTGTTGATCAAAAACTATAATGCAATTTTGAAACTGGTGTGCTAAACGTCATTTCCATAATTTCCTTATTAAAAATTTTAAAATTTGAATTGTAAAAATTTTTTGTTCAATGATAACAATATTTTTGTTTTCTAGCCCTTTGAGAATATAAATAAATAAAATATCCCAGGTTCGATTCACGGGCCGGGAGAAATATTTGTATGTGCTACATTTATTTTTCTCATGAGTTTGATTGTATTTTTTTTGTATATAATATCAAGTGACTTGACGAACAAGTCGTGCGCCTGATGGTAAGCTGCACACCTGTCCATAACAGTTGCAGTACCACTTAAGAGCTTTAAATAACAGATACCTGAGGGGCACTGCCACTGCCTGTAGCGGAATGCGCGAGCGTTCTCGAGCATGCGCGAAAATTCCGCGGAAGAATTTGGCTCGTATCTAGTTTGTACATTACACAATTGACCATAAAGTTGAGTATGCTATGTACAATATCGTTACAAAATTCGCTTCTATTTCTTTCTGGTGCAATATTTAAATTGAGCCATACTGCGTCAACCTCAAATAATAAGATAAAGGAAGATTCAACTGTTATTAGACGTCTCTTCACGTTTATATTTACACGCCTGTCCTTTAAACTATTTATTTATTCTATGAGTTAATACCCGGTGACACGGTACTTGACAAAGATGTTTGTACAAACTCCAGTTATTGTAAATAGGACGACACGTTACAAGGATAAAATTGACAATCTTTATCTTTCTGCTACGGTCCTAGTACTTATACCATATAAAGCAAAAATATAGTCGGAAAGTTGCTTATAAACGACAAATTACTTCGTTCTCTTTTCCTGCTTAGTATGTTTAGCTCCGTATGCATACCGACTATCTTCATTATAGTGTTAAACAAAAAATAATACACCCAATCGTATCGTGTTGTTGTGTAACACCACGACTGTACAGATTCGTTTTTTTTTTTTTTGCTTAAACACTTCCGGACACATAATTCGAACCACCGTGCATTTTTATTTTTAAAGGGCTAGAATACAAAACACCCTTCGGTCCATCTACATACGTACTCGTTTTTCATAACTAGCTATTTTTCCTTCACTGGTTCGTAAATTAAAAATCAATATTTAATCTATATTCATAAATCCAGTTACGAAAACGGATGCAGAATTTGTTCTTTTTATAACCATCTACGAAAAAGGCTTACTTTTTTTTTCTCTCTTTGTAAATAGCTCTACGATCTGTAAAAAACTACACTCCAAAAACTAAATAAAACTGTATAGATGGCATGGTTCTTGGGTATGTTAACTATGATAGCGTACTTTAGGTATTCAAAAAAATGTATAAAGTAGTGCCAATAATGTTTATTCTTACAAATTAATAAAAAAACGTTGCTAAGCTTTCCCAGGTTTTGTAAAATTCTAATTTTCAACTAGGACATATTATGGACGTTATGTTTAGTATATCGCACCTTTTGTGTAATTAGGCCACATCTGCAAAACGACAACTTGTCAGGAGAGAGGTTCGAAGATTCTACGAACGAAATTAGGCGGTAACTTTTTTGTGCTTTAAATAGGATGTTTATAAAATTTCATAATTTGTTTCATGTAGTTCGACATTCATGTGATAAAAGCACTTTTGACGTACGATCAGATGTGGCTTTATTATGCAAAGACAGGATATCAGTGTCTCTACCACGAGATTCCAGTGACAGTTCTCGATAAAGACCGCGTAAATTACTTCACAATTTTGTATGGCAAATTATACAGCGCCTCTGGCAGTCACCAGAAGAAACAACATTTTGTATATATCACTAATCTCACGGTAAGGTACAGCTTTCAAATTGCATTAATAGTTTTTGACCTATCAAATTATTTTTAAATACTGAATTGCAAGGTGGCTTGAATTATTACCGATAGTGTATTTTCTTTGTTTTACATACAGGCGCATATTTTGTATCGCCTAATTGAACACTGCAGCCTAAGTATCTTCCGCCTTTCATCGTCTGTTATATTTAATAAACACATTTTAGTATTTAAATAAGGGTATAATAATAATGAAAAAAATTAGTATTTCACGTTCAATGTTAGTGGAAATGGACAACTCGGCAGGCTGGAAATTCGCTTGTATGCGATGGGCCTTATTGTTATGGCATTTAGATATTTAGACGGTGTCCGAGCACGCGCTGTACTCAACAAATACGATGCTAAATTACCCGTTCAAGGACATTTTTTATCGAACGCTTAATTATTAGTTACATAAGCACAAACATGGAATTGTATTAACTTGGGTTTTTGTTACAACAGGTGGACGGCAAAACCATAAAAGCTCAGATATGGGATACAGCGGGCCAGGAGCGGTACCGCGCGATCACGTCTGCGTACTACCGCGGCGCGGTTGGGGCCTTGCTCGTCTACGACATTGCCAAGCATCTGTCTTACGAGAACGTAGAGCGGTGGCTGCGTGAGTTACGCGACCACGCCGATCAGAACATTCTGATTATGTTGGTTGGCAACAAGAGCGATCTTAGGCATCTCAGGTGAGATATAATCAGGTGTAAGGCTCTAGCAACTGTGTTATAATATATTTATTGAGTACACAAAACTAAAAGGTGGATAGTAGGAGTAAAGCTCCTTCTGAAAGGAAGGGAAGTACTGTTACCGTATTTCTAGGGTCGGCGGACTAAAACACATAATTCAAAAAAGTGCTTCATTTGTTAATGTATAATTACATATTTTTGTGTTGTTTATAGTGTTGGAAGATGTGAAGAGAATGATAAATTTGAATAAGACGCCTCTAGAATAAAGGTACAAATGCATGAAGTAACAAATGAATTTGACTTGTGTGCTTAAGCCGGTAGATGTATTAATTTAAATGAATGACTTTGGATTTTGACTTATGTGCTTTAGTCCGCCGACCCTAGATTTGATTTGATGATTTCTGCCTCCAAGCAGTAATGTGGGCAATACTGCGTTCCAGTTTTGAAAGGTAAGAGTTCTGGCGAAACTACTTCAGCACGTGGGACTTGTCAGCTTTGCCCCAGTGCCCCAGATCTGTCGATTATATCTCTTGAGTGGCACTGCAACTGTTAGGTGTGATGGATGCCACCAAGCGCATGACTTTTTATTCTCGTTACTTGATATCATGATTACAACTTTTTTACTCAAAAGGTCGTGGAATTACAACTATTTGCCAAGTTTTATTGCAATCGGTTACCGGAGAGTGCGTGAAACCCGATTCATCCCCTAGTTTGCTACCGGTGGATTATTTTCTTCAAATTTAAATAGAAAGAAGAAAGAAAGAAAAATAATTTATTTGGTAACCATAATACAAATAAAACGTAAAAACAAAAATTAAAATAGCATTATTATAACATTTACTTAAAATAAAACAGTATTATTTTTAAGATGGTACCAAAAAGGTCTCCACTCAGCTTATTTGTAACGAGACGTAGAGAAACATCTCGTTACGCTGATTTTCAGTGAAGCCAACAATTTACAGTTAACAAAAATAAAGTGGCTCCGACCAAGTAACAAGAGAAATAGAGAATTTAATTTAAATATGAAAATTCAATTCAAAAAAGGAGAAACTGCGAGTACGTGTAGAGTCTGTGTGAGCGTGTATTGTGTGATCACTGTGTTACCATGTATGTGTGGTTGTGATATTAGTGTCAGTAGTGGAATGTCACAATCGCACCGCACGACTGCCAGTGCTGTTGGACACCTGGCTAGATAATAAAAATTTCTTAAAAGACAATTTGAAGGATGCAACAGATTGAAATGGGACCATTGAGGTACCCTCTTGGCAACGAAGAAAGAATCATCAAAATTGGTTCACAAATGCCTGAGTGATCGAATAACATACATACAAATAATCTCAGTACAGAGTACTAAAAAAGCCGACCTCAAAAGTACGTGGAAATACATCTATTTGCCAAGTTTTATTGGAATCCCCTAGTTCGCCACTGTACAGGACTTGACACAGGAGATAATAAAAATCGGTTCTCACTACTCGAAAGTATATTGAGAGAGAAAAACGCCTAGAAGTGGAGAATAGCAAAATCAACCAATAAAATAATTGCTCCTTAGAATAAAATTTAGGCGCTATTTATAAAAATGAATCTTCATGTGGCGTGAACCCTTAGCGGTGGATGATTTTCTCCAAAATTAAATGGGACAAACAAAAAAGAATCATCAAAATCGGTTCACAAATACGGGAGTTATCGCGTAACACATAAAAAAA